CACACATTTCTTTGATTGGGATTTTATAAGCAAAACAATTTTTCTCTGCCCATATTTCCTATTTGATACCATTGGCAATCAAAAGAGAATAAACAAACTCCAGGCCTTCAAAAATAGTTGTGCAGTTTCCCAAAATGTTATGATATTTAATTGTTAAGAAATACTTTAAAAATGGGTGTTTTGCTATTGACTTCTAGTAGGCATGCTTTTATAATACATTTTGTAAAGTCTTGCTGAGATTTAGACAGTTTATCTTGTAGTTATTTTTTAGAGAAGAATCATTATTCCTTTGAGTTTCTGTCAGGCTACTACATAATCTTCATTGACATAAAGGAATTCCTCACATTCATGATATATTTTTTCTGTTTTGTTCAACCTCAATGCAGCTCTAATGATTAAATAATTAATCTCATAGGAGTTATGCAAATATGAATTTTATGAATCAGCTGCAACATCACTACAGGGAAAGGAACACTATGCCCTGTACCAAAGTCAGTAATAGTTTTAAGGGTAATCCTAGAATTAACTCAATTTTACCATCATAAATAATAAAGGCTGATGGTTTTTTGCGGAGTTTTTTCATATTTGATAGGATAGGATATTGATTTGCAGAATGTATTAATTAAATCTTTACTTTTTGTCTGCTGCTTAGCACTAAAAACATTGATACATGCAAATGAATTCTGCAAGCATGACTTTTTCTTTTTTATTACCTTTCAACAGGAAAGAGCAGAGCTTCTTTATAAGTCTCCTACGTCTCCTACCTATTGATAGGATTCATTTAACAAAAACCATGGAAAAGGTCAGTTGAATTTAAAATATTCTCATTAAGATTTTCCTGCTTGTTCATACAGGCTATAACAAAGAACTCGAACTGTTTTAATCCTCTGTGTCTGTAATTTGGATTGATGCTGTTCATGAATTTAGATACACAGCAGCTTTTCCTGATTCAGAAAGGAGTTGTCATTACCTTGTTGAAGTGCTGAAAAAGAAGCTACTTTTAGAAAACTGCTTCAAAGCTACATGCATTTGTAGGACAGATAATTCTGTCTTAATTAGGAGCTGCTGTTACCATTGTAACCCCTTGCTACTTTCTGTACACATGCACGCATATATACACATGAATATACACACACATACACATACACATATTCTCTCTCTCAGTGCATATTTAAAGATACATAGACACTGCACGTACATCAATAAACAGGAGTCTTTACCACTGCTTCCACATCGCAATTTGAATTCTTGACACCTGAAGACTAGTTCTGGTGTGTTTTTACAATGTGTATATACCTTCAGGAGTCCATTCCCCCCGTTACGGAAAAGCCTCTACACCTTGTCCTGTCAAGTACAAAACTTTCTGTTTGAGAGATTCTAAGGACAGTAAAGGTAGTTTAGATATCAGTGAAGTAAAAATAGTAAATTTTTTTTTTTTACTTCACTTATAGTTTTCTTTATGATTTCAGAACAGTGGAAAGAGGTATAATTGCAAATGGGAATCAAACAGTTAGTATTGTTAGTATTATTTTGTAATTAACATTTAAAGGATAATAATTTTGTGGTTGGTAGTAAATCAAATGGAATTAAGGATACACATAATTTAAACCAAAACTAAGAGCAAGTGAAAGTGCAGTTGATGTTACTAAAAAGAAAAGATGATCACATATAAAATCATACATATAGCAACAGCCACACATATTCCCATTTGAAGCTGAGAACAAAATTCCTGACTCTGTTAAGGCCACTCCTGGAAAAAAACACAGCTGCCAAGCTAAAAATTTGAGAATTAAAAGAAAAAAGAAATCCACCTGTTCATTCAAGATTTTCTCCACACCTAATGTAGACAGTCTCATAATGCACTACCTGCTCTCCCCCTACCTTGTTGCTGAGGAGCAACAACAACCTCCAGATGCTGCTTGAATTCCATCAGGGTATTTTGCTGCCAGAGGCCCCAGGAAGCACAGATAGTCTGTATGGTTAGGTAATGCTAGGTTGTAAAAGTAATGAAGCTGTGTATCTGTTCTCCTGTATTCTATAGTCATTTCACCAGTGTTGTTTTCAGTGATATTTCTCATTATGTGATGCAGAAAAACGTACGGAGAATATTTTACAGTAACTTTTTGTTTCTACTTTTATGAGAAGTAAACATGAGTGTCAGAACAGGTATTATAGAGTTAATTTATCACTGGATAATTCTGTCTCTGACTGAGGTGTGTTATTAAGTTGCCAAGTTAAATATTTTTGTTAGCTGCTTGAATACTCACAGACCTTCAGATATCATGGTAATGAAGGTAAGATGAAAGATGAATTGCTGTTACAAGCCAAATACATTGATTTATAATAGTAAATGCTGGTGGAAATAGGCACACCACTGTATATTCCCTTCTACTGAATTTCTCATTTTATGCTTGCCTATGCATATGCAATGCATTATTTAGACTTTTTGAAGGGCTTGCATTTGATTTCATGGAATTCACTTTCGTGAAGAACAAGTTTCTATTAAATTTTCAGGTGTTATTACAGGTCTTTTTTTCCTGTCGAACTGTTAAGTTTAGTTGCAGTCTTTATCTGCCCTCTGCTTTCCTCTGTGTTGAGCTATTACAGGAAGATCACCTCAGAAAAAGCTCCAATGCTACATTATTGTGGCTTTTTACTTCTTAAAACCCAGTTCTGATGGTCAAGAGACCCTTTTTGTGTCAAGAGACCCTCCAAGCAACTCAAAAGATGGAAGGCACTGAGGGAAGCTGAGTGCCTGTCTGTGGTGAGCAGAAGATTGCTGGTGAGAGGGCAGGGCAGGGATCACACTCCAGGAAGGAGGGGGATGGTTTCCTGTGTGCCTGCCCTGAGCCCGTGAAGATCAACTGCCCAGAGACAGCGGCACAGACACTATGGCGCCCGTCAGGGCACAGCATTAACTCGGTCTGAGGCTTACCCGATTCCACTGCCACCGTCTGAAACATCCCGGACCAGCTCACGACTCATGTGCAGGGATGGAAATGACTGGGAGGAACCAAGAGAGCCTGACCTGATAAAAGGCGGCCTTTGAGCACATGGATTGTGCTCCTCTATGTTGAGATCCTTGGATGTCTTGCTGTAAGGGATCACTGATGGAGCAAACGTCACAAGATGTACTTGGTGGTGAGCTTAGTGATCTTTGTTTCCTTACTCTTCTTTTACCGCTACTTCAGGTCTTTTATAAAAGCAAGAGCTTGTCAAATCTGACAGTGTTAGAGAAGTTTACAATAAAATCAATCATTTTGTTTCCAGTCTCTGGAGGGCCTGTGGTTTCTCCTGGAAACCATGTCGTGTTGTAAAAGATCAGTTCCCCTTTTACCCTGTGGGCAGGACACCAGTAACAGCACAAATATCTTGAGATTATGTAGGCCTTGATCGTGTTTTCTCTTTTTTGTTCTTTAACATTGTGTTCTTTATTAACATCATGTTGTCCCTGCTCATACAGGTTTTTTACAGATTACGAGACAGGATCCTCTTTTTCATAGTGACTGCAACACATAGATCTGTTCTTTCATGGGGTCTCTAGAGTTGTTTTACAAGTTGATACAATAGGCATAATACAGCTGTATAAGAGATTGGATAATGAGAAGTTTGCTTAACAAATAACCAGTGTTACTCTCAGACTTGCCACTGAATTTGGTAACTCTTCGGCCTTGGTACAACTGAAACTATAGTATTACTTCATTACTAGGTGAGCTTGTTTTTCCCTTAAAATGGGTAATGTTTTTGCTAACGAATTAAAGTACTTGTCTCCAGGCATTTTTTGCAGTGATGTGGATTGAAAACAAAGGACTTGAGTGAAAATATACCTGCTGTCAACTCATGGCAGACAAAAATACTATTTTATATTTTAGAGTTAATGATAGTGTACAAACTGCTGTGAATGAAGACAATTTTAGAAATACATATGCGCTCATGCTTTGAAAAAAAAATCCATTGATTCTGAACGAGTTGCAAGTGGGTTAATGGAGTGTAGAAGCATGCAGCAAGCTAAAAGGCTAATATTATCTGAAATGAATTAATAGACCTGTTTTGCATTGTGGCAAAGTCTCTCACACTTTGTTGCAGAAAGGCAGACTTGACAATATTAGCCTCTGGCTCAGGGATACTGTTTTGTGTTCCATTCAGTTGATTGTTTCTCTGAAGAATTTCATTGGAGTTACCTACAATTAGGTTCTGTGCAAGTCTCAGGAGTTGTGTCCAGAAGGAAAGCTGAAATGTGTAGGTATCCTGATAAAGTTCAGTTATTTGTAGTATAGAAAGTAATAGCTGATACATATCTTTTATGTTTTATTATTTACATTTTCAAATAGATAATGATATTTAATTTTTGAATAAGACACGTAAAACCTTATGTATGTTATGTCTGGAGATAAGGCAGAGCATATTATGAGGTATGTATCAGAGTCTGAAGGCTTCAGATGTTAGTATTCATTGAACACCAGATGTACACCAAGTCCTTTACTAAAATATTTAGAGAGCTTTATTAATATCCACAGTTGAATACAGTAACTACCACCGTGTCAACATTATGAATCAGTCTCTGAATCTGTTAATAGCTCTTTTGTTTACCCTCTAGCCATCTGGAATATTTAGCAGATTCAGACTCTCAAAACAAGACGGTGTGCTTAGGTGCTACCATCCTTTTCAGGTGGGCAACAGTTAAAACACAGTTATTAGTCTGAATATTCTTCATCTGTAGTGTCACAGCCCACCTATAACATAGGTTTAATTACCTAAGTAAGTTATTTCTTACTAGTTTTACATTAAAAAGTAGTTCATTTAAACAGTTAAATTGCACATAAGAGTAATGTTGTGAAGTTTGCTAGAGATGACTGCATTGATCAGCTTTTCCTGGCAGACAGGTATGTAAAACTAATGACATGTAATTTTGTAGATATCATAGCAAATTGTAAGATGGAAGCCAGGCAGTAAAAGCAAACATTCAGGAAGATAAAAGAAACATTTATGTAAATCTGAGAATGTTTTGGAGATAATTAATTATATTTGAGTTGATTTGCAGAAACATGTATCACCTTCTTTGGAGGTGATGCAAAAAATTAAAAGGATCTGCATTATTTAATCCTAGATTACTATACAAATGGAAATAAAATTCTACTGCAACTGACAAAAAACTATTTAATAAAAATATGCAATGAATAACACTAAATGCAAAGATCATATATGGTCAGTTGTAAATTGTAGCAAAAGTTGAATTCTTTTAACTTCCTTAATATAACTTGGATGAGAACAAGTTTGGAAAGCAGTTATTTATTAACTCATGCTATTGGAAATGGATTTATATTGAATATGTAACTATTTCTGTGTACTTAATATGCCAAAGTTCAAACGAGTTAATGAAAATATTCATATCATGGCCCAGATGGAAGGAATTAACTGATGATATGATTTGGACATAGTGTGACTTGCTTTAGTGGTGGACTTGGCAGTCCTGGGGTGATGGTTGGACTTGATGATCTTGAAGGCCTTTCCCTAGTTGATTCTGTCTTAAGAAAACAGAAGGGGAAAACAGCAAAGATTAGTTAACATGAACATTATTATTCTTTGACTTGTCCAAAACAAGACAAAAATTTTAACTAAATTATATCTGCATATGTTTCAGGTAAATACAGGACCTCATTATTGTCTCCAGGTCCACTTCTTATATTCTATAAATTTTATGTCTAGTTAGTCTAAGGCTAAAATTGTTCCTCAGTGTGCCATTGCAGCCAGGAGGGCCAATAGTATCCTGGGATGTGGCCAGCAGGTCAAGATTGACAATCTTCCCCCTCTATTTGACCCTGGTGAAGTGACATCTGGAGTACTGTGTCCAGTTCTGAGCTCCTTGGTGTAAGAAAGACAAAGAGCTACTGGAAAGAGACCAGTGGAGTGCCTTAAAGATGATCAGGAGTCTGGAGCATCTCTCTTAAGCTCCAGATTGTGGAGGAGAGATTGTGGAACCTGAGCTTGTTTAGTCTAGAGAAGACAAGACTGAGAGGAGATCTTATTAGTGCATGTAAACATTGCAAAGGCAGGTACCAAGACAGTGGTGCCAGACCCTTCAGTGGTGCCCAGTAACAGGACAAGGAGCAGTGGCCATAAACAAAAACACAAGAAGTTTCACCTCAGCATGAAGAAGGGTTGAGGGTGGCAGAGCACTGGAAAAGGCTGCCCAGGGAGGTTGTGGAGTCTCTCCCTCCATTCAAAACCTGCCTGGACGTGTTCCTGTGTAACCTGCTTTAGGTGGCTCTGCCTTGGCGGGGAGTTAGACAGGATGATTTTGAGCTCCTTTCCAACCCTAACAATTGTGATTCCATGTTTCATAATTAGGAAAATTCTTGCAAGACTTTGCAAAACTTTGCATAACTGTAATCAGCTCTGTGTTGAAGACGGTAATATGTAATTTGATATAAATACATGGCATAATTCAAGTGACTGATACCTCATGCTAGAGCAAATACTAATTTTTTTACTACATTACATGGATTCTTATTCATAGATGTAGTTTACAAGCCTTCAAAAAGAAAATTATTTTTTATTGTCATTGTCAAAACAATGAGTTAACTAAACCTTTGCCTCAAAAGTTGTATCTTACCAAATAACACTTTCTGATTTTCACACGTGTCTGGAAGGAGGAGTTTTATGGGAAAAGGTAGATCAAAGATGAGAGGGCATTTATCCTTTTTCGAGTGTTACCAAAGTCACTGGTTGCTGGTTTTTACATCTTTTTTGTTTCTTAAAAGACAAGTTCTTTTTACCTGTTTTGACGTGTTAAAACTATCATTTATGCAGACACCTCTGTTCTCTTATGCTATTTTCCCGCCCTCTACTTTATGTATGACTAGTGTGGGTAACTCTGATATTTTAGCAAATAATGTATACTTTTCGGGAATAAACAGCGTGTAACAAAGCCCTTCAGATACTGCTTTTTGAATTTGTGACATCTTTAAATAGATGTATTTGAGTGTGGTTTTTTTTTTTTTGTATGTCATTTTCTCAGCTCTTTCAGGTGCTTTAGCTGAAGCAATCGGCATCTGTCTTAGAATTGATTTTTTTTTTATGTGCTGTGCAGTATTGAACCAGAAAAAAATGGTTGTCAGACTGACTCCTACAGGAAGACTTTCAGTAGTACCATTCCCTTCATAAAAGATTAAGTAGAGCTTTTTGTTTTGCAACATATTGAAGTGTAGTTGAGAAATGAACAGGGTCTGGTTTTCTGGATGGGGGAAAAGGTCATTATCACTTGGGAAAAAAAGTAATGTGTACTGTGCTACTGAATCTACCCTAGAAATAGCTTTATTTATCCTTTTCCTGAGTTCAGGGAATATCTGCCTGTTCAGTCAGGCTAGTGGTCTTCCCTGCCAGTAATGTCAGACTTTGCTGTTCATACACATATTCAAGTAGCTGAAGTTAAATGAACTGAATATCAGTTTTTGTTCCTATATTACTGAAACCATTTTTTATCCTTTTAAATCTTTACATAGTTTGCATATCCTTATGCAGACATGGAACCAATGAAATGGAGCAGAGACTCTTACATGAAACTTCCCCTCCTCTATTGTAATTTAGTTAAGTTGCTAGGTTACTGCATATGTGCTTTTGATGCTTTTGGATAATTTGGTCCTGGTCTTTGTCTTCAAATTATGTAAGACAGATGTCTGTAAATATTTCCTTTTTTTTTTTTTACCTTGCATTTAACTCCCATTTGATTACTGCTGCTATTTCCTGAATTTACGTATGACCGCCTCCTTGAAGACCAATTCTTTGTTTGCTATACCTTCTTGTTTTAAGGTTCATAAACTCCATAGTTGCTCTTGGTAAAGTTACATTCTGTCTTCAGATGGTCTTCCAACAGATCCCTGTTAGCAATAAAAAACAAGCTAGTTTATTTCTGATGTGTTTCTTATTCAACAACAGTTTTCTAATCTTTGATAATGCACAACAGGTGATCTTTAATACATCCTTAATATGTCTTTAAAATATCTAGGTTAATTTACCTATTCGTTTTTCCTGCTGTTTAAAGTGGTAGAATGTGATTGTTCCTTGACTCTGCTGTTTAAATCATCCTGATTTTGTCAATGTCTTCCTTGCTGTCACTGGGGAAAACCTTAACTGAGCCACTTTCTCTGTCAATATGTTTATGCAACAGCAGGAAACTTGATGAGAAGCCAGCAAAAAAACTTGTCTTCTCTGCAATAGGTGTAAAAATCTGTGAAACCTGGATAATTCAGACAAGTTCATGTGTTCTTCAAAGTTGGGATTATGAAACTCAAGGTATTACAGAAGTGGAAGCTTCTACAAAAAAGTAAATCACAGCCACATAAAACAATGGTGTAAGCACTATATATTTTCAAGATTTCATGTACATGTGTCATATATGAAGTCTTAACAGCAATAGCATCTCTTGAAGTGATTTGACAATCATAATTGTTGAAATGCAAGGGTTTTAAAATTGGTTCCAGGTTCAAGGAAGTATTAAATGTTCAAGTTGTCTGTGTAGACATAATGTTCTTGGAAGTAGGCACTTGAAATACTGTTTGGGACAAACATAAACTAGGGATAGTGCTTATATCTCTTGTAATTCAAGTAAATGTTACTTGCAGTCGGTTACTTATTCAGTGTTGTGTTTATAACAGAAGAAAGAAAATTTTTGCAAATTAAAGAATGTTGGGATTTATTGGGTGTAATTATTTATCAGGGTTCACAATTGATACCATTTTCACTGAGGCGGCATGTTAGGGGATCAGTACTGAAACTGGGTAATGGAGTCATATAAAAGAATATACTTCTATTAAAAGAATTTACTTCTGAGGGACTTGTAAATAAGCAGTCTTTCTGCCAGGAACTGCTCCATGGTGAAGTGGGGAGGTAGTGAAGAGGACTTAGTGGTAATAGTGAGGGAATAGTAGTGGAACTGAAGATTGTGACTGTTGATAGGAAGGCTTGTGGTAGGGTTTTCAAAAGAGCACTAAAGATTGTGGAGCTGCAGAAGCAGACTGTGCCAATTTCATAAAAATGTCAGTCTGAAACTCACATTGGGTTATTCAGGGAAAAGTGGATCTAAAGTCAGGTATACAGAATTCGGATATTCTCTATTTATAATATACTGTGTCACTGCTGAAAGTACAGGAAGTGTATGATAGAGTTCATCATAAAGTAGGAATCTAAACATCTAAACTAGTTCAAATTAATCTACTCTAAACCCCGTCTATTTCTTTGTTAAAAGAGAAGGGATATTAGAACAGACACTTGCATGTAGAAACTTGTAGCTGGTTAAAGTTGTGTAGATAGCTCCCACTGTCATTGACTGCTGTTTAACTTTTATGTTTTTGGGATCCCTTGGAAAAGAATTACATATACACTTTTTCTTTCTACTTAATTAGAACGTGTTTAGATTTTTTTCTTTGCTAATAACTGCCATTTACTTGCCATTTTCCTTTGTTTCACTTGGAATTAATATTTTACCATTTTCTGGGATGACTTTAATCAGTTTGTGGTTGATTATGTATGTTGCTATTAATTTACATAGCTCTGCATTTGTTGGTTTTGCTTTGCAGGCTTCCTTGCACTTGCAACTTTATGACATTTTATTTACATTCCTTAAGGCTGTAGTGGCAGTGTCACTGCTTCTGATTCTCCAAATGCTCTTGCCCTCACTGCCTTGTACCTGCAACCTCCAACTCTGCTAAGGATCACTGCTGTGTCTGTTTTGTTGGATTTCTATAGAGAAACAATCACCACTGATATGTGAATCTCCCTTCCTGTTTCATGCCTTTCTTTGCAACTTTTAATTTGTTAATTTGTGCTGGAGAAAAATAGTTGAAAAAATTAGTATATAAGACATCCAATAAATATTACTCACTGATACATACATGCTCAAAATTTAGCATCCATTTAATGTGTTCAACTGCATTGATCATGTGGGCACCAGTCAGTAGCATAATGATGAATGCTGACAGTTGTGAGCAAGGAAAAACTTGATAGATATACTTGATGGGTTACCAGAAAATGAATATCTGGGGACGTGTTGCTTCCTTTCCCAGCTGGCCATTGAGAAAGGATTTATTTCCTTTCTCCTTTTTTTTTTTTTTATGTTCATTTTTCTTCTAACACACTTTGAGTATTTGTCGGTGTAAGTAGGTCATCAGCCTTGTGAATACATTTCTGTGCATGTAAACCTGTCTTATCATGCTTTGTATAGCAGTGAATAGTGCCTGACTCACTGTTCTTTGTGTAACAATGGAAAGTTGGGGCTGTTCAGCCTGGAGAAGAGAAAGCTGCGTGAAGACCTCATAACAGCCTTCCAGTATCTGAAGGGGGGCTATAGGGATACTGGGGTTGGATTATTCATTAGGGACTGTAGTGATAGGACAAGGGGTAATGGGTTAAAACTTAAACAGGGGAAGTCTAGATTGGATATAAGGAAGAAGTTCTTTACTGTAAGGGTGGTGAGGCATTGGAATGGGTTTCCCAGGGAAGTTGTGAATGCTCCATCCCTGGTGGTGTTCAAGGCCAGGTTGGACACAGCCTTGGGTGGCGTGCTTTGGTGTGAGGCTTCCCTGCCCATGGCACGGAGGTTGAAACTGGATGGTCTTAAGGTCCTTTACTACCCTAACTGTTCTATGATTTTATGTAGTTTTGGTTCACAGCGTCAGAGCAAAGATACTCTAGAGTTTGTCAGCACTTAATTCAAAATATTTGTTGCTCCATAAAGCTTCAAGCTTTCAACTGCTCATTTCATTCTGGGATTAAGATGAATGTGGGGATCAAATAATCCTAAAGAAAAATAATTTTCCTGGCATGGATTGAGGGAAAGATACAGTGCTTTCAAAAGTATTGGTTTGCGGTTAACCTTACAGTTTGGTGTTCATATGTTGATTTGGATCTTTATTTTTCCCAACTAGAAAGGAAACAAAGAAAATTATACATTAATCACTAAATAGCATTCTCCTACTGCTGGTGCAGAGTGATCTTAATCTCACATGATTTATTCAAATTAGGTTGATGTGTGTTAACTAAAGTAGTATGTAGCTAAGTGTCAGAAGTCAAAAATATTTTAGTCAATCACTGTACTAAACTCAAATTTTAGGTCTCAATAGTATCCTCTTGAAATATGTATTGTGACAGTTAGAAAATTAAAAATTGCATAAATACTTCTGATACTTTTAATAAAGATATATGGGCTGTCATTAGGATGCAGATTTAGCAGGAGTAAGCGCTTACTGAGTTCACTAGAAATAATGAAGTTGAAAACATTTGGGGAGGGAGGCGGGGGAGAATACTTTTAAATATTCATCCAAACCCAATCCATATAAGATACATTTGGGTCAGGATTTAAGCACCTAAACCCCATGTATCTTGAAACAGCATCAAGGGCTTATGAGTATCTCTGATGCATCTGTATATATGTGTAAGCAAAAAACAGTTTGTCTGCCTTATCTGTCTGTAAACTTGAAAAATAAAATCTTAAATGGAGAAAAAGCACGTGTGCTGGGATTTCACAGCCCTGAATGATTAGTTCCTATGTTGCTGCCATGAACAGCTGCTATGAACAGCTGCTTTCAGGGTAGCAAGGAACTGAAAACACCCAACACCTGTATTTTCTTTCTTACTGTGTCTATCTGTTTGCACAGTGATGTGTGTTATATTTTTGTGGTGGAATTTTTTTTCCAGCATGACCATCTGTTTATTTCAGAAAAACCCAACAGGAGTCACATTTGAATTGGCCAAAGAAGTTCATAAAATTACATTAAATGAAATCACTAATGCTGGGAAAAATCAAACACTAGCCAGAGACCTGTGTTTTTTTTTATTTTTTTAAACCTAGATTTTATGTAATATTTCTGTAACTGTAAACCAACTACAACGATTTGGAAACCTTATCAAATACCTCTGGATCAAGATTCTAAGGGGAATCTTGGCGTAGACATCTGTCAGTCTCCAAACTATATGATAAGGTCAGTGGCGCAGTATTTGTCACTTGAACAAGCTTTGGGTCAACAGAACCTGTTTTTTCTAGGTGACTTAAAATACCCAGACATTTGTTGGAGTTAAAATAAAGCAGCTAACATCATCTGTCAAGGTCCTAGAATGTGTAGAGGACTGTTTCCTCACACAAATGATGGATGTGCTACCAGGAATGAGGTACTGCTGAAACCAAGAAAACTTGCTTTGTAGTCTCTCAGTTGGTAATGGCCTTGGCTGCAGTGATCATGAGATTGTGGAGTTTGGAACCTGACTGGGCACATTGAAGGCTAGTTCTCAGGTAAATGTTTTAAATTTTGGAAGTCTTCCAGAAAATAGCTGATGTTGTGGCTTTGTAAATCCTCCTCTCTACTTTATCTGAATTCCAAATCTGATATTCAAATTAAATGCATTGAGCATGAATGTGATATTGACAGAATCTGTGGCTTCAGCATCTTTAAAATTCAATGTGAACATGGATCTGGATTTAGCAAACAATTTACATAAATTATTATGATGTAATAATTCACTGTAGAAGCTAGCTATTTCCATGTACTATGAAAGTTAACG